CTGGGGGCAGGGGGGACGGTCCTGCCCCCCCCAGAAGTACCAGAAAGCCTCGTCCCCAGGCCGCGCCCCTCCAGACAGCCCCGCTCTCCGCTTTCTTACTATTATTTGTTGGAATAATAGTTCAATAGTTCCTTGTCGGAAGGTGTTCCCCTGGCCGTACGTTTTTTTGCACCCGTTGGGACAAACGAAGTCTGATGTTCTGCCTCTACCTTGAATGTAATCCTGAACCTTTCTGCTGTAACCACTACTTGTGTGTAACGTGTGTCGGACGAGCACGCGCTCTCCCTTCCACTATGCAGCCACCGGCGAGGGGCCGTCGGCACCCTCCGAGACGGAGGGTGCCGGGGCGTCGGATCCAGAGCGAGTATTCAACTGGAAAAGGATAAAAGTGACAAGTTAACGGGGGAGAGAATGGATCTTTAAATTGAATTATTTTTTCAGTTACAAATATTTGAAAAAGAAAAAAAAAAATCCATTTTATTAAAAAAATTCCAAACAGCCACGTGCTCCAAAATTTCTCTGCGCTGCTGGTGGGAGGGTTGGGGCCACTCCACCTTTTCCAGCGAGGGGTGGGTGATCCCACTGGGGGGAAAAAAAAAAAAAGGCAGCTTGAGCAGTGGGCTCCTCATCCCTTCCCGGCTGCAGGGAGCCTGCCCCCGGGTACAGGACTTACCTACCCCCAGCCAGAAGCAGGTCTTGCGGAGGGAGAAGCGCGGGCAGCTTGTCCAGCCTCCCACAGCCCGGAGGAAGTCCTGCAGCCTTCCTCAGCCTGGAGCCAGGCAGGAATTACATTGACCGAAAACACTCTTTTTCACATCAGTAAATCTGCTGCAACTTCTGCCCCCACGAGCTTGGGCTTCCCGGCACAGTTCTCCCGGGGCCTTGCTAACGTGCAGCTGACGCTGCTGCCCACCACCACCCACCCCGCTTCCGCTTTCTGTCAGCCCCTCTCCCCCGGCTCTGGGGATTTCTCCCTTGTTGGGGGCTCCACTGCGAGGCTGCGCTTCGGGGGGCCCCACAACTCCTCCTGCCCTGGAGCAGAAATCGAGAGTCCCATCTAGCCCTGGCCCCATCTAGCCCTGGCCCCATCGTCGAAACACGAATCCAGAGCCCGGCGCTGTCCCAAGGTGCAGTTTATTTACAAACCCACGGAATAAAGGAAAGTAAGAATCTAGC